ACACACACACACACACACACACACACACGAGGTATAGCTTTACTTGGCCTGTTTTGCAGCCAAGAGCAGAACTCTGTGGTTCTATGCTTCAATTTAGCCCATGTACTTACTAAGCACCTGCTGCATACCAAGCACAAAAGTTGTGGGCCTCCGGTCTTAAGAGATGTGAGGGACCCATGAGCCAGGAGCACTGCCATCCCCACTTTGGACTCATACAAGCTACTCCTCTGAACACCACAGCTGGTTCTCCATTATGAACATGTGCTGTGTACAGGCTGATGGAGTCTAGCAGGACTGTTATGAGCTTGTTGGTGCAGAGGATTAAGTGTTTGGCTGCTAACTGAAAAGGTCAGGGGTTTGATCTCACTGGCCGCTCTGCAGGAGAAACCTGAGGCCATCTGCTTCTGCAGAGATTACCGCCCTGAGACCACGGGGCACTTCTGTCTTACGGGGTCACTGCGAGTTGGAAATGACTGGCCACAGGTCTAGTTTTGAGGTTTCTGTCAGGACACCCAGGATGGGCAGCTAGGTACTCTCCTTCCCTGCTTCTGCACAGTCCTGGACGTTTAACGCCCACCCCCAAAGAGGTCATCACAAACGCCCCCTCTCCCATCTCACAGCAGCGGACAGTACAGCAGACCCTGCTCAACTTCGAACACGTTTCAGGGATAGATACCTGGTCAAACAGGTAAACAGTGACATCGTCAAAGAACGTCACAGCCTTCTTCTCCTTCCTCCAGGCCTCGCCGGGCGCGGGGTCCTCGGTGGCGGGGGCCGACGGCTTCAGCAGGCTCCGCAGGTGTCGGCTGTCGTCACTGTTGCTGAGGATCAGGGGCACGGGGTGCTCCAGCTCGTCCTCCGACTCGGAGCTCAGGCTGTGCAGGCTGTCGTCCGAGTCCTCGCTGCTCTCGTCGGCATCAATGCCGTCCTCGGAGAGGTCCAGCAGGCCTGAGATCCCCAGCTTCCCCAGGTACTTCCCTTCAACGTCCGGCTCCTTTAGCTTGAGGCCCTCTGTGTGGACGGACAGGCACTTGTCCATCATCAGGGCTGGGCCACTGGGGTGGAGGCCGGCGGTGGCATAGGCCAGCAGCTCGTCAGTGCTGGTCCCCGTGGAGGTGAGGTGGCAGGGGTGGTCTTCATGCGGCTCTGAGTTCAGCAGACTCCCTAGGGTGCCCCCCTCGCCTTCGGGGAGCAGTGCCTGACGGCAGACGCAAGACTCCCCGGGTTCCAGCAGCTCCCCGGGTTCTGACAGCTCCCCAGGTTTTGGAGACTCCCCAGGTTCTAGTACCTCCCTGGACACTGGCAGCTTCTCAGGCTCCAGCAGCTCCACTGCTTCTGGCCATTCCCCGGGTTCCGGCAGTAGCTCCCCAGCTTCTGGTTCCCCGGGTTTTGGAGACTCCCCAGGTTCTGGCAGCTCCCTGGGCTCTGGCAGATTCTCGGGCTCCAGCAATTCCCCAGGTTTTGGGAGTTCTGGCAGCTCCCTGGGCTCCAGCAGTTTCGTGTGCTCCAGCGGTTCCCTGGATTCCAGCAGTTGGGAATTCTGCAGAGGAGGCGGGCAGGTAGGGTCGGGCTGGCTTGTGGTTTCCTCTGCACCTTCCTGCTGCTCCGAGGGGCAGGGTGCAGGGAGGGATGCCGAGGCCGCAGCTGTTGCTCCAGCGGCCTCCTCGGACTTTTTCTCAGGCTCGGAGTCATTGTCAGAGAAGTAGGCCGAGTCGCGATACGAGCTCTGGGCTGCTGTGGCCATCTGCACGGTCACCTCTGCCCCACGGTGGCCCTCAGCAGCGTGTGAGATGACAATGACGGGGTTGGGGGGCAGGCCCTGGGGGCTGCCGTGGCCTGGTGCCGCAGGGTCGGCTTCTGGGGCATTGTCGGAGGCAGGGTGGAGAGTCCATTCAGGAGACTCCAGGTTCTCCGTCTCGTAGCCGCTGTCTGCGGGCTTGTCCGGAGGCAGGAGCTTCTGAGGCGTGTGCGCGCTGAGAGAGTCCAGGACCTCCTGCACATCCATGGAGTCTGGGGTCTCTGCAGACTGCTCTGACGTGGTGATGGGCGTGGACAGACTGTCCTCCAAAAGGCTGTCCTGGCTGGTCGAGTCTGATGACAGTGCGGACACTAAGCCTGTGTCTTTCGGGGCATCTGTGTGACTCAGGTGACTGAGAGCCTGAACTGTCTGCAACGGCAGACCTCCACTGGGGTGGTCTTCTGGGGGTGGCTGGCTCTGGGAGTCCTGCCTCAGATCTGGGAGACCACCCTCGGTGCCCTCCTTGCTGGGTAAGACACCACTGAGCCCGACAGTGTCGCTGGGGGTCAGTGTCAAGGGCTCTGCACACGGGTGAGTAGAGGCTGGCAGCCCCTCAACAAGGCCTTGTGCTTTGGCATCAGCCTGGAGACACTCAGGGGGGACAGTCACAGGGTCTGGATCTCCTTCTCGGCAGAGACGATCGTCAGGGACAGCAGGGTCAAGGGCCGGGGGCCTGGCTTCTCCCTGCCTCAATAGGGCATCTGGAGGGGCAGTGACCAGCGTCTTTTCTGCAGAGGTAGAAGGTAGCTGTACTTCCAGAGAAGACAGCGGGGAGATGAGGCCGTCACCCATGGGCCCAGTCCCATTTGGCCCGACACTCTCCAGGGACAGGGAGAAGCCTGGCGGGTTCTCAGGCAATGCACACTCAATGTCCACAGAGTTTCTGCGCGACGTTTCGGGCGGGCTCTCAGCAAAGCCAGCGTTTCTCAGCTCTGTCTGAAGGTCCTGGCCGGGTTCCTTGCCAGACATGGAGACTTTCAGTAGGTTCTTCTCTTGAAGGAAGAGAAAGTTTTCTGACAGTTCTTGAAGGTTCAGCGGATCAAAATCATTTTGGTGCATGAGGTCAGCAGGTAATCCGAGAGGCCCGAGGCCAGTGAGCTTGTGGGGAGCTTCTGCCTCCAGATGAGATGGGAACAGGGGCTCGCTTGGTGTGGCCGGCTTTAAGTCGGCCTGAACTCCATCCAGTTCCAGCAGGTCCAGCAGCTTGTGGTGGCTCGGCAGGTCCTTGGCCTTGTCCAAGTCACTGAATATATTGTTGAAAGGGCTTTCGGGGCCCCCAGCAACAACATGCAGCTCCTCAGGGATGCTGGAGTCCTGGGGGTCGGAGCTGGTCTGGAAGAAATCCTCCTCAGTGCTGGACCCCTCAAATTCCAGATTCCTGAGGGCCACAAACTGGGAGGTGTCATCGGCGGCCCTCTCGGGGTGAGCCGCCTCCGCCGACAGCAGCGTCACGGGGTAGTCGAGCTCCAGGTGGCTGCCGCTTTTCTCCTCTAACTGGATGTAGTAGTCGCTTCCCACGGACAGGTTGTGGGCGTCAAACACGGGGACCACGCCAGGGGCCCTGAGCGGGGCGTCCTGGCCACTCTCGTCCTGCCTGCCGGGCCCGGGCTCAGAGAGCGAGCTCTCGAAGACTTCCACTGGGAAGAAGATGCTGGTGTAGGACAGGGCCTCGTCCGGGTGCCCGCGGCCACGCTCATCAAAGTGGTCATGCTTCGCTGCCTCCCAGACATACTCGAAGCTGAGGCCCTGGCTGGTCTCGGTGACCGTGAGCACCTCTTCCATCTCGCGCCCAAGCCGGTCCCGGGCGAAGTGGTCGAGGATGGGGAACGCCGCGCTGCCGGATGTGTCCCGGGCGTGGGTGTTGGGCTTCAGTGCGTTCCACTGCTGCTCGAAGTCCACCTCTGGGTCACGCTGGCTCTGCAGGCGCAGGTACGTCAGCAGCCTGTGCACGTCCTCGGCGGCCGGCCTCTTGTCGGGGGACAGCCAACACAACTGCAGCACTTCGTACCTGGGGACACGGGAGAGGGCGTTAGGGCGCCTCTGAGAAAACCCTGGAATATGCTAAGCGAGTGCACCCTCAGAAGGTCCAATCCCTACCAGTCACATCGCAGTGCCATCAATCAGAAGGAGCACACGAAGGGACAAAGAATTTCACTTGTAATTTTGTGGTTTTTGATTCTGAAGCATTTCTTAACATGGCGCTCCAATTCTTTTGCTCTTTCTGTCCTGTTCCTACATTTATCTACTCACTACATTTAAGCATGTCTTTATCCTCTCTACGTTTTTCTCATGATTTGAGTGAAAGTTTACAAAGCACTCTGATCTTCTACTCAACAATTCATTCAGACAGGTTTTGCACAGACAAGAAACTGGCTTTGCACAAATCACCACATCATACACATGAACTGTAATGGCCAACAACGGCTGACTCTTTCTCTGTGTCTGCATGTTGTTATTGTTTCGTGCTGTTGAGCTGCCTGCAACTCACAGCGACCCTACGCACCACAGCTCTGAAGCCGGCCCTGTCCTGAGCTAGTCTCACGCACTCCGACACACCTACTCCCATTACCCAGTTACTGTATCACTCTATTTCAGCCAGGGTCTTCCTCTCCGGTGCTGTCCCCTTTCCAAACATGATGTCCTTCTAGAACCTAGACTGAAAGCCAGGTACGAGGTAACAGGGTGCCTGTGTATGGATGAGTGGGTTCTGGTGACTTTTCCCTCAACTTTCTACTGTAGTGTATAATGAGATCCTTTTTTATAATCAGAAAACCCTATATAACTATTGTGAAGTTATTCCCTGCCTCTGAATCAAACGTGTAAGAGTACGTGAGAACAGAGGTGAATATGAAGCTGTCACAGGTGAAGGCACCCCAGGGAGTTCACGCTCACTGTGTAGGTTACTCTCATTCATCTTCTGTCTGACTGAGCTCTTGCACAGAACACATCCTTTACACAACTGCTGACTGCTGGACTCGGCAAGAACAAGTGCTAAATAACTCACAAGTAGTTACAATCATAAAGAATTGTTCTCATAGGCAGACTCTTGTGGTTGCGTATGAATCAGTTGGAAACAACTCTTTAATGACACACCAGCAGGTTGTCAGTGGCAGCAAATCGCACAGGAGACTGGCCATCCTTCTCTCAAGGAGCAGCTGGTGGATTCGAACAGCACAATTCCTCACCACTAAGCCACCAGGTGCAGAAATAGCTCTAAGAAGAAATTAACAATTGGTACATAGTCTGTCCATTTGCTGTACAGAGGGAACTTGTGGTTGCTGTGATGCTAAACACTGTGACACTGATGTGTCAAATGCAATAATGGTCACCCATGGGAGACAGTGTTTGGTGGAGATCCCAGACTAAAACAAGCGTGGAAGCAGGAGTGGCATCACTTCTGAAATAGCTTGCCTCTGGAAACTCGATGAATGCGGAGAAATGATGAAAGTTATATAAGCATTCAGGACTTTCATAGGGTCGCTAGGAGTCGCCTATGACTTGACGGTATGTAACAACAAAAAGCAACAAGCCATCAGAGTCCTCTTTAGAAGTACGGCATCATCATCATCATCATTTTTTAAATGAAGAATAATAAGTTTTCTCTAACAAGTACTTATGTGCATTTCTGTGACTATTTCAAAATGTAAACAATAAAAAAGTGATTTTTTAAAAAAATAAATAAACGTTTTCTTTTATACTGGGTTACTTATATTCACTCCTTAAAACAACCTATCATATAAAATCAAAAGAGCAGCATTTTCCCCAGAGCAAAGCCCGAAGTCAGGAAGCAGTAGAACAGAAGGATGCATGGAAATGAGAAATACAGGGAAGAAGTGGGAGGAGCACGATTATACTTGTGGGGATTGGAAAACAAACCAAATAAGTACGGATGGCTGAACAAAAACTCAATTTGCTTTGTTAACTTTCACTTATATCACAATAAAAAATAATTTTTATACTATCCATGCGTTGTCTCACATATTCACTATAATTTGTATAAAACACCTCATTAACTCTCAGGATGAACCCACATGCCTCTGAGTAGCCATGATTCTGGCTTCAAAGTAAACACGCTCAAGAGATGGGGGTGGGGAACAAACTAAAAAAACCCACTTCAATAAAAAAAGAAAGTAAATTCCCCAAAAAGCTCCCTTTTCTAATTTGTTGATGGAAATTTTTTTCTTATTGTATGAAACACATATGCTTTTCTTTACTTTAAGTTCGTTCCCCCCCATCAGAAACACCATGGAAATGGGGCTTTTCCTTCCTTTTGGAAGGTAAGGGCAGACAAGCGGGTACAGACCATCTATCAGAGTACGGCTGCTCTAGCTGGGGCTTTGGAAGCTTCGTCTCTCGCTCTCTGATGACCTGGTTGAGAACTTCGATGTTGGAAAGGAGTGAATATGGCTGGGCAGCATTGTTAAAGAGCTCCCAAAGTGTCACGCCCAGGGACCTGTGGACAAAAGAAGAGAGTTATTTCTTTTCTTCCTGTAGAACCGTGAGGTTCGAATCCACCAGATGCTCTTCTGCTGGAGAAGGAGGGGCAATCTCCTCCTGTACCAGTCAGATCTGATCAGACGGTACACACACACACACACACAAAATAAATAAAATAAAAAAAATATTTTAAAAAAGGAAAACAAAACAAAAACCCACTAAACTTCTTCAGTCCGAACCTTGAAGCAAGCAGTACCTTCTTCCTGGCACAAATGTTATCAAGAACAGAGAACCATTCTAGGTACTAAAGGTTTGAGACACCGTCAGGGACAGTAGGGAAGTTTATTTACATTAGACTGAGGGGAGAAAACAGAAACAGGCATATGAAATACGACAAATCACAAAGGTCATCCCTGACTTGGTGGCATTCAAGTATTAACACAGTGAAACTTGGTTTGACTTTGGGAAAATAACTTAATCTGTCTCAACTTGTTTACATCCCTAATTTAACTTCTTTTTCACTCTCTAGGCCCCTTCCAAAAGAAACCCTCTTCCAGCACCTGTCACTGATGGCTGCATTCTTCAGAGGAAACCAAGCAAGGGCTTTCTACCGCCTCTTCACATCTTTGTTGAGGTCCCTCTGAAAGGGCTCCGAGAAGAGCAGACCTGTCTCCTGCCTCAAGCATTTGAGCTCTAGTCTATTCCATTTCTTCCTAGACAAGATCATCAGCCATCTCCTCGGAAGCCCGGATAGTCAACCTTTCTGGTGCCACTGGCTTTAGTGTCCTCGAGTATCATCACCAGGCCTCCTTGTTCTGGAAGGAAACTGCTGGCAGTTGTTAGCAATTCTTTACCCACTGAGCCTTGAGGGTCCCTCATGCACTTGCCTCCCTCCTCTGTTCACTCCCTGGCAGGCTGCATGGGATGACTACTGCTGACACTGTCACCACTGACTTCACAAACCATCAATGACATGCCTGCTGTGGAAAGGCAGGCCAAGGGTACATGCCAATCCCTTGGCTAAGAATAATGAAGATAATGCATTAATCATTGAAACATCTTTATGAGGGATCTAAGAGCTGTTAAGACAGAAAAGCATCACAGGATAAAACTGTGAACTTGGGGAATGAATGGAACACTCACACGACCTTGGCCCTAGGGTACTTGCCAACTCACAGACTTAGTTGTGCGTTCCTAGTTACATCACTTGGTATGATGGTGGACAAGCCAAAGCCTTTGGATAGGACTAGGTAGGCTGATCTCACAGAAAGACCTCCTCATGGGAGAAAGAACCCTTCCTGGAAATAAAGACAAGATGCTGGTGTGGTAGACGCCACACAACTACCTGGTCCTGAGACCTACAGCCCCCAATCACATCACCTGAATGGTTAAAAAACTCTCCAAGCATTATGCTGAGTGACCTAACCCAGTCTCATAAGGACAAATACTACGTACGACCATTATTGTAAAATTAGAAGGATAACTAGTAAAACATATATGGAGACCCAAGGGCATAAGGGGTAGGAGCAGAGGGGTGAGAATGGGTAGGGGTGAAACCACAGTGTTGTACAATTTGGTGGGGGGAAGGAAGGGGTGAAGGAAACGGGAAGGATCTGGAGGGGATGTGAAAAGACAGAAAATGATGGGCAATGTCCAATGGTGATTAATTTTATAAAACATGGGAATGATTGTATGAAACACAACGTGAATGAAAACTAGTGTGAAACACAATGAACTTTGTAAGCAAACTAATATAAAGTGAAAAAACAAACAGACAAACAAACAAAAAACAACACACACCTCCAACCATGAGAAAACAAAAACACATCACTCCACCTGGCCATGTGAAGTCTTGGATCAGTAGGTCCCCTGTACAGGGTAGGATATTCTGGTACCCATTTCCAAAAACCTTCCCCCAAAATAGAAAAGTCTCCAGGGAAACACACACACACACACACACACACACCCATCACAAACCAGTAGGAAAATAAGCCACAGACTTCAGGTGACAGAACTAGCTGACAGAGATATCCTAATTCCTAACAAGACTCTAAGACCAGTTTTTAATAACAGAACTTCTAAAAAATCAGGAAATGTCAACAGTTGAACTAGAAACCCTCAAAAGAGGTTTAAGTAAGATTTGACAGAGTTAAAGAGAATTAGTAGCTGGAACACAGGTCAAAAAAATTAGCCATAGAGGCATAAAGGGTCAAACAACTGTATTATTTAGTTATATTTGCTGAGGAAACAGAAAAAGGAAAATTAAGAGACAGCAGGCAGAGGTCTAACATCTGCATAATTAGACTTTCAAAAGGAGGTAATATTTGGAGCACAGGTGATATCTGAAGGGTAAGGGATGAGAATTTTATGTTGAATGAGGAAAACATCAACCTACAGATATGAAAACGCCAAATAAATGCAAAGTAGATTATTCTGAGAAATGTACATCTATAATTATGAGGTTTCATAGTGAAATCTCAATAAATGAAAACTAAAGAGCAGTGAGCGAGAAAAAGTTCAATGTTCTTCGGAGTTTAGGTAGACTTATAGCTGACTTCTCAACAATGGAAGTCAAAAGACAGCAGAAGGTAAGAGAATACGCCGTCCCCTTTTCCTTATGAATCAGGGAAGTCTCTCTCAGGGAGGAGTGATAGGGAATGGCAAAGGACACACTGACAAAGGAGATTAATCAGAACTGGCTTTGACAAGCACTGTGGCAACTGGACAATTAAAACAGACATTCGGGGGTGGGAGAAGAAGAACGAACTGGGGAGGAGGGTAGAGAAAACAGTGCAACAATGAATGAATGAGAACCCAAAATCTCTGTAAATGTTCATGAAAACTAATAAAATTTAATAATAAAAAAAACCACAGCAGAAGGATATATTCAATAACCAGAGGAAAAAAGAACTGCCCTCTGGTGACAATGTATTTAAAAAATGAAAACCAAAAAGATTTAAAAAAACCCAAAACAGCAAAAACAAACAAAAATAACAAGATTTTCTTACTAGCAGATTTCCCAGCAAAGGAAATTCTGCAAGGCAAATGGAGTGCAACCCCAGAGGGAAATGTCTGAGATTTTAAATAAAAGAAAAATGAAGAAAAGTAGTTATTTGATTAAATAGGTACATTTAAACAAATATTGATGCTCAAAACACATTAATAATGTTCATGGGATTAAAATAAAACATTAAAATACCAAACAATAGCATGAATATTGCCTATTTCTTGTGTAAATTTTTAAACAGAGCCAAGTATTCTGAAGTCTCTATATTACTGAGAAAGAGAGTAAAAATACAGATTAATATTACACTAAGATAAGTGAAATAGGTGTTTTAATTTCTGGAGTAACCAAGAAAAGCACAGAAACAGTATATAACATCACAAGTAAGAGGGGTAAAAAATACAGCTTAATTTTTTTTAAAGTCCAAAAAAGAAACCAAGAAGAGAAAAACAGAAAAAAAAAATGGATAATAACACACAATAAAATGGTAGACAACTGTAAGAAAAACTGTGAGCCAAAGATTTACATCTTTTCATCTTCCAACACAGTCCAGGCCCTGGTGTTTTCTCATACACCTCAACAAATACGCAGCTAACACCTATGATTGATCTCCCAAGGGCAGCTGGTTCCTGCTTTTATGGAGCTTATTACTACAAATGGGCAAGAGAGGCAGTATTTTTAAAAGCTATTTCTAGTATAAAAATGATCAACCTTAGATAGCAGTGAGTTGTCTTCTTGGCATCCCTGAGCCATATTTTTCACCAATTATTTTTATTTTCTCCAGTAAAATTTTATCTTGGGATTTTAAAGAACAGAGAAGTTAGATTTTTATTCATTCATTGTTGCACATTTTACCCTCTCTCCCTTCCTCAGTCCACTTTTAAAAAAAATATTCATTCATTATTACACAATTATCTACCTCCCCCCAGTCTTCTTTGCAATGATACACCTCTTATTCTGGGTTTTTGTACGTATAGTGTCTAATCATATATTCCTTTTTGATAGTTCTTCCCTTCATCCATCTGTTCCTTCACCAAAGACATTCAGATGGCAAACACAGGAAGAAATGTTCAAAATCCTTAGCTATCAGAGAGATGCGAATCAAAACAACTACGAGATAACATCTTACCCCTGTAACAGCAGCAAACAATAAATGCTGGAGAGGTTATGGTGCGATGGGAACCCTTATTTACCACTAGTGGGAGTGTGAAATGGTACAACCACTATGGAAGGTGGTTTGACGGTTTCTCAAAGCAATGGCACTACTGGGAATATATCATAAAGAAACCAAACCACCATCCAAACAGATATCGGCAAACCCATGTTCACCGCCGCATTATCCACAATAACAAAGAGATGGAAGCAATCCCTGAGCCCTTTTGCTCCTCTGTCCTCTAGGATTACTTCCCATTAAGAAGACCCTAAACAAGGAGCTAACATGCCTACGGAAACTCTGTGAACTCTGATAAATGCTGATAGTTAACAGAAAGGCTTCAGGCCTCTTGTTCATAAGGTCACCATGAGTCGTGCTCGACTAGAAGGCAACCAACAACAACAAACAAGAAAGAGATCAGGACTTAGGGAAACAAAAGTTCAGGAAAGGGTAAACACATACATACCAGATATTGCTGTATTTAGTTTGTTCTGCAGTAAGTAACCTGTCCTGAAAGCTGGTTACTAATTCTGGAGCCGTCCACCGCAGAGGGAAAACTTTCTTATCATCGGCTTCAATATAGTCCTCCTGTTTTATGAAAAAAACACAGAATTTCAGCAAAATCATACTTTCTGTGCAGTGAAAAGAGATTTTATTCCAAGCTATTATCTCAAAAAAATCTATCAGGAAAAGGAGAAAAAACCAAAATGTGGGCACGAAGAGAGACTTTCTGGCCAGAAGTCTGCTGGGCACCCTCAGCTGGTCTCTGAGCCAAGGTCTTGCAGTGTTTGGACAAAGAGAAAGACGCAGGTCCTTCGCCTTCACGGGCAAGTGGTGATGCTATTCATCCAGTCAATGAGTATGAGCACAGAGCTGAGAGTTTGCAGGCACTCAGCAAACACACCCAGCCCTTTTTCTTATACCACGCCCGCCAACCTCGGGGACAAGGACTCAATGAGATAATGTTGGCAAGGACTTCAGAGGGCACAAGTGCTCAAGACACTAGGGCCAGTGTGCAGACAAAGCAACAAGTCATATCTGAAGAGTAAGCTTTAATACAAAGCCCTCTGAAAAGAGTCTCTGACTTGGTCTTTGGGACAATCTTGTAAGACAGGAGAGGGATCCTCAAACCATGGCTTAGAAAATGGAAGTGAGGAAGTTTCCCTAAGACCTGACCAGGACGTCCACGGATATGTGCACTTATGTGTGAACATACACACACGTGCACACACAATCTCATAGGTTGCCTCACTTCTAGGGCGTGGTTGTGGGGGAATATTTAGAAAAAATTTAAAAAGCAAAATTTCAAGCTTACTGAACTTAAGTGGAAATCTGACTGAACAGGGGATGGGGAATATTATATTTATATAGACGTAGAACAATCAGTGCCGGCAACGTGCACCTTCAGGTCTACCATTTTTCAGACAGAGCATCTGGAAAGCTGATGCAAACCCCACAGCAAACAGCTCGACAGACCCCATATCAGAAACCAGCACTGCTGGTCTGTACCAGGAAGCCAGCGACAAATCCTTCTCCAAAGAACCGCTGTCACCACGAGTCTCACCCTCCTCCGCCACAGACAGAGTGGGATTTCCATGTGACAACATCATGACCTGAAATGAAATGAGAAGGGCGAAATCCCACTCAAAGCTTTGTTTTACCTTGTACCTGCTGAATCCAATTCCATAGTCTCCCACCTTCACGTTTAAGTCAGAGGTAAGGTAACAGTTCCGCAGGGCCAGGTCACTGAAAACAGAGAGTGGTGTGAAGACCAGGATGGGGAGAACCAGAAATCCGAGAAAGGTAACACGGAACTATGGGAAGAGGCTTTCTCCTGTAATCAGTATACTCAACTCCTGGCTTAACGATTACGGTCTTAACAAATTTTCATAGACAAAGCATTACATGCCTATCATACTCTACTGACTTAAATAATGGAGATTGGGTATTTGTTTATCATAACCTGTATTAACTGAGGAATAGTATAGTAGGAGTCTATCCATAAGGCTAGTAAAGTTATCATTTTAAAGTAAAAGCAAACCCACGGCTATCATGTTGATGGGCCATGGTGACGGTACAATGTGACTCTCACAGTGTAAGACGTTACAGGGTCTCCAAGGCTGCAGAGTTGATGGGAATGGTGACTGTCCACTGTGAGTCTCACAGTGTAAGAGGTTACTGGGTCCCCAAGGCTATAAATCTTAATGGGAGTTGGTTTTTACCGTTGAGTCAGAAGCGACTCATAGCTGATCCTCCAGCGAGTTTTCAGAGGCAATAAAACTGTATGGGAGAAGACTGCTCATTTTCCTCCCATGCAGCAGCTGGTGGATTTGAACTGTGTACCTTCGTGCTGGCAGTGCAATTCTTTACCAGTAAGTCACCGGTGCTCCCTAATGGGAGTAGACTGGTCCAGTTTTCTCGCACAGAGCGGCTGGCGGGCACAAACTGCCAACCTTCCGGTCAGTAGCTGAGCGTTCTGACCACTGCCCCACTTCACAGATGTAAAAATTAAGGAACATGAGCGTTTAAGTGGAAGGTGTTTCTAAGTCTGAGCACCATCCTCGATTTTGGGAATAAAACTTGCTGTTGCTGAGTCACTTCTGGCTCAGAGCCCCTCCATCACGTTTCTGAGGTTGAAATCACAATGGGAGGAGACCGTCTACGCCTCCCACTTGGAGCTGCTGGTGGGTTCAAACTGTTAGAGTGTTTAAGTTAGCAGTGCGACACCCCCAATGGACTACACACCAGAGCTCCCCAATACCAGTAATATCAAGATAGTTAAAAATCCTAAGGATCAATACTTCCAACTTTCCCATGGGTTCCACTTCAGCAGCTTACATAGAGAGGACCCTACACACAAACCAATGTCCACACATCACATTCTGAGAAGCTGGGCTTCCTGACAATTGCACTCATGGTCAGTTACGTTGAGAAATAGCTGAGAGGAGAACAGCTGCGTCCCTCCCCTTCACCACGAACTTGGCAGCACTGGTGAAGTTCACAGCATGCCACGCAGGGCCAGCCAGTGCTGAGAGACCACCCATGCAGACGGCTCGGGCACATCCACGTGGCTGCTGTGACGTAACTGCAGATAATACGACACTCTTCTTTCCCCTCCACAACAACCCTGTGAAGTGCTGTTCTTCTCTGTAAACGGAAGGAACTTTGCTGGCATCACAGACAGACTCATGCCTCATCCTCACTCGGCACAGGCTGCCCTGACCCAGGATGGGTGCCTTGCTTGCCCTCTGTGAGGGGAGCGGGTCTCAGGATGGCGCAGGTGTATAGGGGAAGACGTAGGACTCTGTCACAAACAACATAGCAACTTGCAGTCTTCACAGATCTGGCCACCGGAGGACAGGGAGGGCAGGAAGTGAAAACACAGAGTCAGACCCTTCTAGCCACCATGCGGTGACTACAGCCACAGCTGGGCGCTGGGTGAGTTCTGACAGCAGGGTTGTGAGCACCCTAGACAAGCTTGTCTAGGGTCTCTGGCAACCTTGCACAGCTTGCTGTGAGAGCAGAATGGAAAGCCAGGTATTACCACTGAGGCAGGTCTGGGGCAGCAGCAGAGGGCTGGCTCAGCACCACTGAGAATATGGCCCCCAGGGCATCTGGAACCTTTCACTTGGGCCCCATCAAGCAACTCCTGGGTAACAGGAGGCCCGCCTCACTTCTTCAGACTCTCTCCGGCCAGCTGTTCAATGTAGACTGTGACACAAATCAAAGGTGTACGTTAGATACAAGGATGGTTATTATGTGTGCAAAAGGCCTTTAGCTCTCATTTTAAAAGCAGGTGTCAAAGAGTCCAAGAATGTACTGCACTGGCAAATCAGCTGCAAAGGACTTTTTAAAACAGTAAAGTTCAAGGAAGTCACTTTGAGGACTAAGGTGCCCCGACCTATGGTATTTTCTATCATCTCCTATCGTGAGAAGGCTGGACCATGAACAAGGAAGACGGCAGAGCAATGTGGCTTACAGTGTTGAAGAGAATACTGACTATTCCACGGATCTGTCTTGGAAGCAGCATGGCCAAGGTGAAAGCTGGGAGACCCTCAACGAGATGGACAGACAACGGCAGCAACAACGGGCCCCAGCACAGCAGAAGCTGTGAGGTGGCGTGGGATAGGGCCGGGTTTGTGTTTGTGGTACATGGGGGGTTGTCAGGGGTGGGAATCAACCCATGGTTACCTGACAGCACAGAGTTCTATTCCAGTCCCCACTGGTATTCTCGGGAAAAGCACCAGATAATGAGCAGTCAGTCACCAGGCAGGAAACAATTCGGGGGAATTCCTACAAGCCTGCCCTGAACCTCAACACACACCCCTTCCATGTTTCCAGCACTTCCGGTTTGGGGGAAGGCTCAGTCCTACAACTTAGGGACTTAAACAAATTGGAGCCTTAATTTATTAACATGTTAAATAAGAACTATGTCTGTCACGGCAGAATGTTGGAATGTTCAAGAAACACAAAAGTGCCATATAGATTTAAGGTAATGATATCAAAGCTGGTGAAGAAACACACACTCCAAAGGCCAGCAACACGAAGAGCTAAGGATCAGAATGACAGAGAAGCATAACCTCTAAACAACTGGGCGACTCTTGACGTCAATGGCTCTCCTGGGTCAGGAAATACAAACATATGCCCAGTATACTGTCCTCTCAAGCTGAAAAACAGGTCCAGTGACAAGGCTGCCTGGTGACAAGGCCTCAGGAGGGAGTCCTAGCTGGTCAATGCTCACTGACAGCACCCTGGCTCTGCTTCCGGGGAAACGAGGCTGGTGGGTGGGGCTGATGGGCGCAAGGAGGTGGGAGGCGGCAATGTCCCGGACACAGGCTACAGCTGGACTCCATGGCCCAGGCCTTCTGAAAATGCTCCACACCTGTTTGTGTTAGTCTGGAGTTCCAGCCTGAACCACGGGGTCACCATGGACCAGGTAACAAGGACAACAGTTTATGGCAACTACCTGTACTTCCTTGAGTAGCCAGAGTTCCGGACAAAAAGAGCCACAAATTGGAAGTCAAATGCTATCTAGTCTACAACAGTCCTTCTGGGTAAAGATTATCTCCTTTTATAGAAGAATGAGATGGCTTAAGTAACACAGCTTACATGGGTAAAACTAGAGATAAGTGAGTTCTAACTTCAACCCCAGTCGCTCTCTGCTCATCACACAGGCTGCTGACGGCAGCCATGGGGTGTAAGTATAAGCCTAATCACCCCGGGACTGTGCAGATGACTGCTCTAAAGTAGATGGTGGAAGATTCTATCGAGGACCCTGTTAAGACAAGCCCGTGGCCAAGGCTCTTGAAAGCTCCCTCCCCTGCTCACTGGGGCAGCTCTTAGTGGGAGAACACAATTTACTCTCTTACAACAAACATTCAATGAGCAGTCAGAGGAGCCCGGTAGCCTCTGGCTACAGAGATGGCCTTCTGATTAGATCCTGATTAGGCCTCCGTCTGCAGTGTGGTCACTACTGATGCTGGTGATGAAACTGCATGAAGCCTTCAGTCCTCCGGTTCCTCCAGAGGTGGGCAGCCTGGCCTTTGCGGGTTACCTGTGAAAAACCATCACACTAGACAAAAGAAAGCATCAGTCTCCAGAGGCTGTCAGCGGACAGCCCCGGGCTCTGCTCCTGGAGAGAAAGGGACCACGTGCGGGGAGGGGGCCCACATTCACCCAGCCTTTTGCCCTGGATCATTTCCCAGACAGAGCGCTGATGTCTCTGGGCCTGCGGTGGGAACGGGGATCCGAGTCGGAGGATGCAGATGGAATTTTGCAAGCAGAGGTGAGCAGAGCTCAGACTGCACAGCAATCAGCCGGGTCTGGACTCTGGCCAATTACCAAGCCGCACATGGGCAGAGAGACCCAAGTAGCCTGTGGCTGACTAGATGCTCTAAATGGTGAGTACAGATCGACTCTGCTCACTAACTGGGCATTCAGATGACATTCCCCAAGGCTTTGGGAAGAGGACTCCTCCAGCCATGGTCTGATGTCCAACACCACAATCAAGCCTGCTGTTGGTAGGTGTGAGGTTGGTTCCAACACAACCCTGCCGTTCCCACGCCATCTTCACAACTGCTGACCAGCTGGAGCCCACGGCTGCAGCCGCTCTGTCAGTGCATCTCACTGGGGGGGTCTCCTTTATCGCGGACCCTCTGTGTCCTCCTGATAACAAGTCTTGCCGTCCTCACTTCTGAGGGGCACCCTGGCTGCACTTTAAGCCACATCTGCTTGTTCCCGCAGTCCACAGTACTCAGTACTCTGCCAACACCCACTTAGCTGCCTGCCAGCCAGAGCTCTGTGCTATGGCAAAGCGGTGGTCGCTCAGATACCATTGCTATGCCAGGTTTCCGCTGCATGTGTGAGCTCAGGCGCAGCCCAGCATGGGACCCTGAGCCTCTGCCTTCACTTCCTCATCAGAAATGTGGAGGGAAATAACCATGTCCACCCGAGAAGAGGAGTCAAGGGGAAATAAGGTCACACACACTTGGAATGCAACATGGCACATAACAATGAATCAGTTCTAACTGTATTTTTTAGAGATTCTTTTCTAGTTTGTATTTGAGTGTGGGAAAATGATGGGACTAGCAGAGTCTCTGGTTTCTGATTTTAATGAAAAAGGACTGGTATTCCACCACTTGGAGTGCTATGTGCTGAGTTTGAGTGAACAGTCTTTATCGTCATGAAGCTGTTCTTTGCTCTCAGAGATTTAAGCCTAGGACAGCTGCTGGGGTGAATCCAGCACT